TGTGATTTATGTTGATGACATTATCATTGGGGGTAATAATCTTGATTACATTGAGCAATTCTAGACTCAGTTAAATAATCATTTTAAAATGAATGACTTGGGAATTCTTAAGTTTTTTCTTGGACACGAGATTGCCAGAACTTCTGCTGGAATTTTTGTTTGCCAACGAAAGTATGCACTTGAGGTTTTAGCCAAGCCAACACTAAGTCCTTTTCCACAGAATTTAAAGTTGAACAAGGATGCAGGGAGTGTTATTTCTGATGTGAGTCAATATCGAAGGTTAGTTGGAAGAATTCTTTACTTATCTATTACACGACCTGATCTGTCTTACTCGGTGCAAGTCCTAAGTCAGTTTCTTTAGTCACCAAGACAACCTCATTTGGAGGCCACACAACATGTACTGCGTTACATAAAGGGAACCCCTGGATATGGCTTATTCTTTGCCAGTGACTCTGAGTTACATCTCAAAGGTTATTGTGATGCTGATTGGGCGTCTTGTTCTGACACGAGGTGATCCGTTACAGGCTATTGTATATTCTTGGGTAGTTCACTGATATCCTGGAAGTCTAAGAAGCAGCACACCATTTCGAGGTCTTCAGCTGAAGCCGAATATCGGTCCATGGCCGTTGCTGTGTGTGAACTTGGCTGGTTGAAGAATATACTTGCTGACTTGAGTGTTATGCATGCTAAATTAGCACTATTGTTTTGTGACAATCAATCTGCCATACATATTGCTAACAACCCTGTATTCCATGAGAGAACGAAACATATCGAGATCGATTGCCATCTATTAAGAGACAAAGTTAGAGACAAAGAGGTTAAGATGGTGCATCTGACTTCTCAAGAACACGTTGTAGATCTATTAACCAAACCTTTGGGAGGTGATAAATTCAGTTCCTTATTGTGCAAGATGGGAGTTTTGAACATATATCTCCCATCTTGAGGGGGAGTATTGGAAGTTCCTTTTATTAGATATGGTATCTATTTCATTAGATATTTGTTGGAGGTCTTTTATGTCATTTCCACTTCTTTTATTCTGTTAATTAGTTAGTCTTAGTCTATAAATAATCCACTTAGTTCACTGTGTAAATGATGATTTCCTAATCTTCTTCAATAGAATTGCTCTGTTGTTTCCCGCCATTTCTTCATTTTCCTCTGCATCTTATCACAATGCTCCAACTGTTTATTTTACATTATACAATGCTGACTATGAACTACAACAAGGGGAATACTATCAAATTGTTAGACTAAGCAGTACATGAAAATGAATGATATGGATATTTCATATACTCAACCACCAACATTTGACGACTGAGTGGATCACGCACTTTCACAGCTTCATTAACCATCTAGCATCCACTCATTTCATTGGCCCAGAAAGGAAAATGATGAAGCAATTTACACCACAAGATGAGTAAGACATTTATCAGATTACTCCAGTAGCATGAAGAAATTTGCAGGCGTTGAAAGCTACTTGAGAACATTGTAAAGAACAAAAGGCCACGTGAACTGGAAAATGACTAATAACCATCACGGAGGTTCCTTTTTCTAAGGAACTAATAAATTTTCCAGTAGCCCAAGTCCCAAAAATTAGGATAATCTTTCCTGATTACATGAAGAGAGTGTCTTTTTCTATTATTATAGGAAATATCAGACAAGGATTAATGCAATAAGACAATTCTAATCTCTTAAAATCCTTGCCACCAATATAGGAAAAGAGATTGTGGTGTGGGACGACTCAAAGTTGTGTAGATTATCAACTTGCAGCATTACCATCATTTGTTTAATTGATCATCAAGCTAATCAGCACATAACTTTCACCTAGGTTTCCTTCAAAGCTTCACTACTTATGATTATGAAAATGCATCATTGAAGTTTTAAAAGAACTTGATTTTCCCCTTCTCTACCCATTTTTCACAGAAGAAATAGTAATGGAAAGGGATCTCTATCCCTCTCTGTCCCCTCACTCTCAAAGACAAACCGAGGCATAAAGACAACTACATCATGTTGGGAAATTATTTAATTTGCCATGATGAGCCAACATATGTAATTAACTGTATATATATTCTATCTTAAAGTTAAGCCCAAAATTAAAGTGATCTAATAAGGAATTAAGTAATTGGGCTTTAAGCATCTAAATAAAGTGTGGGCCGGACTATATGTGTAGAGACCGGATCCATTAGAGTTTATATTTGA